GGATGGAAATCTCATGGATCAAGGATCATGAAATCCTCCTTCAAAACAAAGAGAGAGGGCATTACAATGAACGTCATACAATGCTATGCGCCGACCAACGACTACGATGAAGACGCTAAAGACCAATTCTACGATAGGCTGCAGTCGATGTTCGAAAAGTGCCCAACCAAGGACCTGACAATTCTGATGGGAGATTTCAATGCTAATGTGGAATGGACAACACTGGATACGAAGACGTCATGGGACAACATGGACTGGGAAAAAGTAACGAAAATGGTGAGAGATTTGCAAACCTATGTGCCTTCAATAAACTGGTCATAGGTGGCACCATATTTCCACACAAAGACACTTGGATTTCACCGGATCACACTACACAGAATCAAATCGACCATATCTGGATCAACAAACAGTTCAGGAGGACGATGGAGGATGTGAGAACCAGAAGAGGAGCTGATATAGCATCCGATCATCATTTGCTGGTCGCCAAGATGAAACTAAAACTCAAGAAGCACCGGACAACATCACAAAAGTTTAATAGGGCCTTTCTTCGAGACGTTGACAAACTCAACAAATTCAACATAGCCCTTAGCAACAGGTTCGAGGCCTTTCATGATCTACTCAATGGAGAGGGAACTACCATGGAGAACAACTGGAAAGGTATCAAGGAGGCAATCGTTTCAACATGTCAGGAGGTTCCGGGCCAAAAGAAGCACCATCACAAGGAATGGATCACTGTTGGTATACTGGATAAAATTGAAGAAAGGAGGAACAAGAAGGTAGCAATCAATACCAGCCGAACAAGAGCAGAAAAAGCTAAGGCACAAGCCGAATACACAGAGGCAAATAAGCAAGTGAAGAGGGGCATCAGAACCGACAAACGTAAATATGTAGAAGATTTAGCAATGACAGCGGAAAAGGCTGCAAGAGAGGGAAACATGAGACAACTGTATGATACAACAAAGAAACTTGCTGGAAATTACCGTCAACCAGAAAGACCAGTGAAAAGCAAGGAAGGCAAAGTAAGTATTGTTAAACAGGATGAAGGATTCCGTGGACGCCCGACTTCGAGATCAACAAGCTGGATTTCGTAAGGATAGGTCGTGCACAGATCAAATCGCAACTCTGCGGATCATTGTGGAACAATCAATCGAATGGAATTCATCGCTCTACATCAACTTCATCGACTACGAGAAGGCATTTGATAGCGTGGACAGGACGACACTATGGAGGCTTCTTCGACACTACGGCGTGCCTGAGAAAATAGTAAATATCATACGGAACTCCTATGATGGACTAAACTGCCAAATCGTCCACGGAGGACAACTCACCGACTAGTTTGAAGTAAAGACCGGTGTTAGGCAAGGCTACTTACTCTCACCCTTTCTCTTTCTCCTGGTGATCGACTGGATCATGAAGACGTCAACATCTGGAGGAATGCACGGGATACAGTGGACAGGCAGGATGCAGCTTGACGATTTAGACTTCGCGGATGATCTGGCTCTTCTATCACAAACGCAACAACAAATGCAGGAGAAAACGACCAGTGTAGCAGCAGTAGGTCTCAATATAAATAAAGGGAAAAGCAAAACTCTCCAATACAATACAACATGCACCAATCAAATTACACTTGACGGAGAAGCATTGGAAGATGTGGAAACCTTTACATATCTGGGCAGCATCATTGATGAACATGGTGGATCAGATGCAGATGTGAGGGCGAGGATCGGCAAAGCAAGAGCAGCATACTTACAACTGAAAAACATCTGGAGCTCAAAACAATTGTCAACCAACACCAAGGTTAGAATTTACAATACAAATGTCAAGACAGTTTTTCTGTATGGGGCAGAGACGTGGAGAACTACGAAAGCCAGAAGATACAAGTGTTTATTAACAGCTGTCTACGCAAGATACTTCGGATCCGATGGCCAGACACTATCAGCAACAAGTTACTGTGGGAGACAACAAACCAGATTCCAGCGAAGGAAGAAATCAGGAGGAAGCGCTGGATGTGGATTGGGCACACATTGAGGAAATCACCCGATTGCGTCACAAGACAAACCCTCACATGGAATCCTGGAGGTCAACGGAGAAGAGGAAGACCAAAGAACACATTACGCCGAGAAATAGAGACAGACATGAGAAGAATGAACAAGAACTGGATAGAACTAGAAAAGAAGGCCCAGGACAGAGTGGGTTGGAGAAAGCTAGTCGGCGGCCTATGCTCCATTGGGAGTAACAGGCGTAAGTAAGTAAGTATTTCCACTACTTCTTGTTGAGCCATCGTAAAATGTTTTTGTCAAGTCAAATGTCATATGCGTCTTCTAATAAGGATTATCTAACTAGTTCGCGAGATGAGAAATTCAATCATGGAGATCTGAAACGTTCATTGCGTAATAAGGCTGTAAAGGAAAATTTGTAAAACATTGCCACTAATCACTTGATAATTTTTAGTTGAGACGACTGATTCTCAAGTACGTTCACTGCACATTTGATGGTCCTTCTCAGGAATTACTCAACTACTATGTATGGATTTCCTGGTAGTTGCAACTGTAATATATAGATAATACATTTTAGGGGTAAGTGAAAAAATGTTCTTTTTGGAAAGATAGTGACTATAATAGACTTGCCATATCATCATGTTATCAATTGTTGTGTAAAATCTCTGCAACCTCGATTGATCATATGCCATGGAAACTAATCAAAAAATACGGGTCTCATTCTTTCAAAATAATGGAATGAGTTTGCTGTTACTTCAAATATCGAAATATACAAGTTTTCAGTCAAGTGAATTGCTTAGTCGTATTTGAATCTCATGTGTTCTATCGCGCTAACAAAGTGGTTTCTCATACATTTTGCATTGAAGGATATGTACGAATCGAAGGCAGTTCTAATAAGAAAATTCTAAATATCTTTGCTTGGGAACTAATACTAGATAAATGAAGATATTAGGAAGAGTGAAAAAAATAAAAGTCGAAAGTACCGGGATGATCCGATAACAATGTATCCCTTGTGTAAGATCTATTTTAAAGGTTTTCCTATGTGAAAATTTTTTCATGCAAACATTTGCAATTTGTTCTTATTGGTTTCTTTAGTTGTACATTTTGTTAGTCTTTTTGATTCCATTTTATGTTGGTAATATTTCATTTTAAAATAGTTTTCTCATTTTTCTTCCGCTTCCACTGAGTTTCTTGGGTTGGCTAGGATTGTGAATTGAAGCACTTTTCCCGAGTCGGAAACATTTTGTGTTATAAAGCAACAAACTATTATCTTTTGGACGGATTTTTACTTGATCTATCTAGAAAGGATAGAATAACACTTATTTTTGGTGCGTTCGGTAATTTTCCTATATTCACTATCAGTTTGTCTGTTTATTGTAATTCAGATCCATTATTGAAGGAACAGTTATTGGTTGAACAACTGAGAGGTAATATTCGTTTAGGTAATAATGGACATTTGTATTTATAATTAAATTTAGAACCGTTATTTATTCGATCCCCTGGTTTTGATTTCAATTGTGAAAACAGTGTGCCTAACTACCGAGACAGTTATTTTTCAGCCTAACCTTAGTATGCATCTTACCCCAAATGGAATGAAGATATGACAAAACTTCTAAGCTTCGAGTTCAGTTGCTCCTGAAGTTTCTGACAGACTGTTGACTTCCTCGTGAAAACTGAATGAATGAACTTTATATAGTGCACAGATATGGTTGTGGTGAGTATAGTTATTGAGTAACGGGAACTGTCAACACTGTGTCAGTGAACTGAAATCTAAATGGACTATGTGTCTGCTTTGTCTATGACGAGGTATCACTATCTGGCTTCCTTAATGCATCTTTATATGCTCTGTTTGGTGCACAACGGATCATGAATATATTACCGGCTAATCATAGGTATTTAGGGGTACAGAAACAACTGAAAAATGATATTGATAAAAATATCACACAACAAGCTTTGTTCCCCTGTTTATGAAAGTTGAAACATTCAAGCGCTAGAGAGCAACTCTTTGAACGAGAAAAGAAAAAACACATATGTTGATTGAAAAAAGGGATCGCGTTGATGATCTCAATGTGCTGGGTTTTTACGAATTTTTACTTTGGATATTCAGAACCTCTTATGATATACCCGGGAGAAAGTAGTCAATATAATCAGATTACTTTGCTTTATATCAGCGACAAAATCTAAATTAATTAGAAAGTGACGAAGAAACGCCTATGTTTTTGAAAGTTGACGTTTATCCGTTAAATTAGGCACCTTATCGCTGTTCGGGATATATGTGTTGATAACCTGTCTCAAATACTTAGATGCATTTGCTGATACTATGGTTGTAGAAATCTGTCCAGTGTCTTCCAGATAACTTTACCAAAAACGAAGCGAATAAACTCCAGGAATGTCTTAGAATATAGGGTGACTGCTAAGGTGAAACTATTAATATGGCAACAGTCAAGGCACCTCATTAGTGATTCTTACTGACTACAAGAATATCATTACTATACTCAAACTGTAGGGAAATAATCAATGAAAATGTTTGGCAAGACGTGTAACTGGATGAAGATTTGAGTTCCAAGTGGCTACTTGCGACTGAGACAAAATGAAGTAAGGGTCGGAAAAAGAAACTCAAAATATTTGTAACGGTGTGAAAACTACTCCATTCAAACCTATATTTGTGAATCCCTACAGTTCGCACAGGACATGTAACACCAGTCTGTGAGCAGCCTTAAAATAGAACACAATGACATTTAGTTGCAACTAGAACTTGAATCTCAGATTACATATCTAACTGAAAGCACAGAGTACAAAAATATCGTTAACAAAAACTTCATTGTATAAACGGTACTGTTATTTGACATATGTAAAGTAGTTGCATGCTCAAAAATAGTAATAAATTGAAAATATTCACTCAGGAATCTGTTTTTATACACAACTATGAAAGGATTTCAAAAAGAGAATTCTGTGCTTTTTTTAAATGCAAAAAGTGGCACACAAGGAATAAAACAGTGAAAATTACAAACCGGTTAATAAGAATCGACCAAGTATAGCCCAATGATCAGATGGTAAACACGAAAGATTCTTAACCTTTTCGATTCCACGAAGGCCAAAATCGACGGGTTTTATTCTGGAGCCCAACACATACATGCGATCATATCTAAAAGTCATATGAGCTTGCGGAATACCTCTGAATTGACGCCGAGCATTTAAATTGCGCAAAGGATCCCAGGTATTTCTAATCTCAGTGTGACACCCACATTCATTCCATACATCATGTATTCCATAGGGTAAACCACCTAACACACGAACCTACGAATTTGAAAAAACAATCACAAAAAATGGATCACGTTTTAAATCCCGGATAAGTACTTACATTATATATATATATATATATATATATATATATATATATATATATAGAAGTACGAAATCGCCAAAATTATTATAATACAAGATTGACAAACTCAGAAGGAGGATTTCGAAGGGTCATTTGAAGAAAACTACCCCTAAAATAACTTGCGAATAAGTGGCATTCGAAACAGCTATCAACATTCCAGTTAAGATTAAAGACCCCTAATAGCTCTAAAACCCCACCTGTGACTCTGCTATGGTTATTACCGGAACCAAGCCCAAGTAAAGGAGGAGGATTGTGGAACGGGGTCAGCAACCACATCCAGTAGAAACCAACCTCGCTAAAAAATCCAGAATAAACAAAGTAAGCCATTCAAACTCTTCCCTGAAAGTAAAAGGACCTTCATTCAGAAGAACTATGATGAAAGTAAAAATCCTTCAAAGCCCTGAGGCTGATACCGTTTCTGACAATCAGAACAACAACTAACGTAGGTAAATGGAATGTCTGGCCAATATGAGGGACAAGAATGACCGCTCAAATAGCTGAGAAAATAAGTAAACATAACCTAACAGTTCTCGAAATAACTGGAACCCATCGGACCCAAGCTGAACACGAAAGATTAACTTCAGTACCGGTGCTGTTTTACTCTGACCATGAAGAAGATAATGCCTCACACACAAGGATTGGCACAGATGCTGTACAAAGAAGCACGAAAAGCACTTGTAGGACGGGAATCTCATGGATCCAAGATCTTCAAAGCATTATTCAAAACAAAGAAAGAGGGGATCACAATAAATGTTGTCCGATGTTGTGCACCCATTAATGATAGCAACGCCGACGAAAAAAATCAGTTTTACAAGAGGCTGCAGTTGATCATAGAGAAGTGCACAGGAAAGGATCTGACTATCCTGATGGGAGACCTAAATGCCAAAGTCGGAATGGACAACACCTGGTATGAAGATATAATGAAACGACAAGGACTGGGAGAAAGGAACGAAATGGTGAGAGGTTTGCAAATTTATGTGCATTCAACAAGATGGTTATAAGTAGCACAATATTCCCCCACATACGCATACACAAAGCTACATGAGAAAAGTACAGAGGTATCACACTACTATCGGTACCAGGAAAAGTTTTCAACAGTGTTGCTGAACCAGATGAAAGATTCAATAGACGTCCAGCTTCAAGATCAACAGGTCTGATTCCGTGAGGATCGGTCATGCACAGACCAAATCGCGACACTACGACTCATCGTTAAACAATCAATTGACTGGAACTCGTCATTATACGTCAACTCCCTTGACTATGAGAAAGCGTTTGACAGCGTGGATAAAGGAATCTTATGCAACCTTCTTCGACACTATGGTGTACTTGAGAAGATCGTCAGTATCATCATCCGGAATTCACACGACGGAATACAGTGCAAAGTGGTGCATGGAGGACAGCTGACAGATGCATTCCAAGTGAGGACCTGAGTCAGACAAGGCTGTCTACTCTCCCACTTTCTCTTTCTTCTGGTGATTGACTGGATTATGAAGATCTGGACACCTGAGAAGAACCACGGAATACAATAGACAACTTGCATGCAACTAGACAATTTGTACTTGGCAAATGACGTAGCCCTTCCATCCCATACACACCAACGAATGAAGGTGAAGACAGTCAGTGTAGCAGCAGCATCAGTAAGCCTCAACAAACACAAGGGAAAATGCAAGATCCTGAAGTACAACATAAAGAGCACCAACCCAATCATACTTGGAGAAGCTGTGGGGTAGGTGGAAACCTTCACGTACCTGCATAGCATCAACGAACGAGGATCTGATGCAAACGTAAAGACAAGAATTGGCCAAGAGTTGTATCCCGACGAGAATGGTGGATGGTAACTGTTGGGATCTATTTATGAACTAATACTATACATATTTCTTTATTGTGTATTTGTTAAATAACCAAACTACATATATTTACATTTCTCTTGTTATAAGCTTTGTTTTGACCTGCAGACTATTACTATACGATTCACTATTCGTAAGCTACGCTCAGTTTATTAAGTGCAGTCACCCACAATCACAGATAGTTTTGGCTAGACCTTGTTCAAATGTTATTTTCTATTTTATGGTGTGATATGGTCCGTTAGGTCTGTATATAAACTCAGTATGTTTGAAATACATGATTCATATTACGGAAGTTGAAATTGGTGTTCTGGACTCAACAGACAGGGCTAGGCAGGAAGAAATACTGATAAGAACTCTAAACTGCTCGTAAGGGTTTATGCGTCATTGGTCCGGCCGACAAGTCACTGTACTCTGATTGGTGGTGTCACTGCGTTACATATTAATTGGACACAAGTTACAACACAAAGCAGTTGAAGAAAATATGGAACTCAAAACTACTGTCACTTAACATCAAAGTCAAAATCTCCAGTACGAACATCAAGACAATTCTACTGTACGGAACTGGAACTTGGAAAACTACAACAACCATCACCAAAAAAGCACAAGTACTTCTAAACAATTGTCTACGCAAGATAGTGGATGTCCGTTAGCCGGATACCATCAGCGACAGCCTATTGTGGTAGAGAACAAACCAGGTTCCAGCTGACGATGAAATCAGGAAAGGACGCTGGAAGTGGATAGGACACAGATTGTGGAACTCATCAAACTGTATCATGAGGCAATCACTAACTTGGAATCATCAACAGTAGGTTCCAGGCCTTTGAAAATCTACTCACGGGAGAGGGAATTACTATGGATGGCAACTGGAAAGCGGTCAATGAGGCAATCATTTCAACATATCAGGAGGTTCTTGGTCACAGGAAGCACCATCACAAGGAATGAATCACTGTTGATACACTGGATAAGATTGAGGAAAGGAGGAACAAAAAGCAGCAATCAATATCAGCCGCACAAGAGCAGAAAAAGCCAAGGCACAAGCTGGATACACAGAAGCAAGCAAGCAAGTGAAGAGGATGCAAAAACCTTTACATATCTGGGCAGAACCATTGATGAGCATAGTGGATCTCTTGCAGATGTGAAGGTGCGAATCGGCAAAGTAAGAGCAGTATATCTACAATTGAAGAATATCTGAAACTCAAAACAACTGTCAACCAACACCAAGGTCAGAATTTTCAATACAAATGTCAAGACAGTTCGACTGTTTGGGGCGGAAATATTGTCGGCTATGTCATTGGTAAACGAAAGCAAATGTATTTGGAGAATGAGTCCGAGAACCTAACGAACCAATAAGCTGTATAAACTGGTATAGATGAAGTTCATAAGACCTAGTGGTTTATTTTGTTTTGTTGTGTTGATTGATTTACGATGTGATTTTGTTAGCGACAGCTATTGATCTGATTAGGAATTCATACCCACAGCATCAGTATGGGAAGTTCAAATGTTTATATTTCATTGAATACAATGATTAACAGTGCTGTATTGCGTTTGATTGAATGTTTGTGCAGGATAAACCGTGTACTAGCTTTCTTCAATCAAATGACAAATAGTTATTAGTAGGCATTCGTTCTTAAATTCAATTACTTAGTTAAATCATCACTCATATCTATCGCTTTTAATATACCACATTAACTCCGTATTCTGATCTGGTGTCCTTACATAATGATGTGTCTTGTCGGTGACAATAAGAGAAAGGATGTGTGCATTTTGTGATCTGTGTTTACTGACGTTCACATATGTCGGAAAAGTGTTTTGTATATTATAATGACTAGTAAAGGTAGATTTTACAATGAAAATTATCTGCACTTCGTTGGTTCTCTGTAAGACCAACTAATTAGTTTCGAAATTACTTTAGTTGACTGGTTTTGAAACCATCACGGGCACAACTTCTGTAAACTTTTATGTTACGAATGGTGATCAAAACTGATTTAACTGTTTTGTGTACTCTGAAATTTACTCTAGAATAGGATTTTTTCTCTTAGGAACGTTAAAATGAAAACTTTCTTGGTAGCAGTTTTCCATTGAACAGTCCTCTACGACCGTATACATAGTAAGATGACAGAATAATGACGAAATTGAATAACCCTTATTATAATTATTGTTAATTTAACTCATGAAAAAAGTAACGACAGAATCTACCTCTGAATCCCTCAGATTAAGATCACCGCAAAATATACTTGCACGACCTCTATTTGAACTAGCTTTAGAATCTCCACAGTTGACATAACTTGACATTGTATCCCAAACACTTTTCAATTGAGTCACTCGTTCACCAGAGTATTCTGCACAACTTTCTAAGTGTGCAGTAAATATTCGTAGATTTAATTCTAAATTGGACTTTGGTAGGAACTGTGATAAATTCAGATCAATAGATAGCAGATGACGATTCATTACAGAATTAGGAAAGGGTTGAATCTATGAGAAAGTGAATAAAGAAAAAAAACACAAATGTAGGAAGTAGAGCAATGAAATGTACGAAAGTGTTATATCGAAGCCCATTATTAATAGTACATTCAAAATACAATTTTCAGGTTAACTGATTTGAATTGTTTATACTTTTCATTATATACACGAGTATTGAAAAGTGATTATTAGGAAAAATGGATCAATATTTTGATGAAGCATATTATTGTAGTTTAAATGATTCGGATCCAATTCAACTAAGTAATTACTATTGAGAACTAATGAACTTGTGATTCAGTTTCTAGATTATTCTATTATGAGTGATCTTTTAATAAACAATAATAGGAAAATGTTAGTAATAAATATATTTTTTAAAATGATATTCCAGACGAGTAGAAAATTGTATTTCTGGTGTTTCAGTGACTCACTGCCTTCTCGTGGCGGGGATGTTGTTTACAAAAGTGAGAGGACGAAAAGCAAATGTCCGGCGCTTTAACCGGGTTGGTGGACACGGAAAGTCCACCTAGGGTGTTGGCAAACCCTGATTCCAAACCAATGGTGCACATGGGCTCCAGGATCCTGAAGGAACGAATGGCTTATGAACCAACTGTTGGTCACCGGCTACCATAGGACTGCATCTCCTCACGATGCTCCACTGCCTTATGGATCAGATCTTTCAGTCAAAGGCTCCGGGTGTGGCCCTTTAAGAAAACCACCTGCTTCAGTTCGGGCACCTGAGCAGTATCACAGCCCTCACACAAATCGAAAGAGATTTGTATGGCGCATATCTATCTGGTGCTTTTTGTACCAATATTTATGTGTTTAAATAATAATAATAATGTAAGTCACTTCTTCAAAGTAAATAAATGTAGAAAACTCACACAATACACTGGATTCCGTAATCAATAGTTTATAGAATGTAAGTTTTATTATGAAAAAAACAAACAAATAACTAACAATTCAATGTACACAGTAAATAGAGTTCTTAAAATTGGCAAATCTCTGACGTAGGCGTTTGTTTACAGTTATTTAATAGAACACTTTTAAACTTTCATTAAATTTTTTTTAATAATACCACACATATGTAAAATAATTAGTTGTGCTTTTGTATTACACAAAAAATTGCAAAAATACTTGTGTACCACCCCGTTTTAACTAAGCATAATGGTAAAGAAATAGTTGGATAAATAGAATTCTTCTAAAGATAAGAATTATGTCAGGAAAATAAAAAAAAGAACCTTGACAGTTTCAATCATGAATTAATGTTAACTGAGAAGTCAATACAACTGTTTATTTCTACATATAAAAATGATTTCAGCAACACAAACTCTTGACGCCAAAACATTTAAATATTACAGATAACAGGTTTAAATCACTCTTAAAAACACAAGTGCAAAATAAAATTGGCAGATACAAGATAGTTGAATGAATCTTGTAAAGGTGAATCATTTCACATTAAATTCAATGAAGAACACAATAAAAAAAAACCACCTAAATCACAAACTACTTAAGTGATATGTGATCTCTTCAGTTTGAGATGATTTTTGTATATAATTTATTACTTAAATTACAAATCATAACATAACTATTTATATCTATTGGTATATTATATTGTGAAGAGAAACAAAATACAAAAAAGAACAATTGGTAATAAGTAAATGCTGGAACTTTTCACTTTATTAGTGAAATTGTAATTAGGATTAAAAAACACGCTTACACAGCTATAGGAAAGGCTTTTTTTACTAAAATTTCTATTAGAAATTCTGAAATAGTAACTTATCATTGAACATTGGAAGTAGATCACTACAAATTTGCACGTAGTAATCAAAATATTTTGGCTTTAGAGATAGTTTTTAGTTAGTGTAGTAAGAATCGGACACAACAGTAGTTATAGTTACGTGATCGTGTTTTTCCAAAAAAAGAATTTGACTAAAGGTGGGTGGTTCTCTAATATTTTTACGCCTTCCATCAAAATAAATCTTTTCATTCTTCTTCTTCCTTATTCAATAGTTTTGAAAATGAAGTGATCTTTAATTATTATTTAAAGAAGAATATTAAAAGAGGGAATGATCTATGAGTGATTTAGCTTTTTTTTCTAATTATAAGTGATAATAATCTAGCAAGCAATGACGAAGTGCTTTCGAACGTCGCCATGGACACAAGCATTTCAATGGATTAAAGCATAAAAGAAGACTATCAGAGAATATGAAAGGACAGTTGTTGGGGATACCCGATCTCATGGTATAACTTATGGAAAGAAAATCAATATTATTTATCTTGAAAAACTTACAGTAGATTATTTAGTGTGGACATTATTCACGGAATTTTAATACAATCTCACAAAGTTTTGTGTCAATGACATACATTCAGTTCAAATATTCTTACCACTTTATATTGATATGTAATCGAAACATTTAATGTTTTTTTGGATTGATTACGTTGAGTCAACATCAGAAGGCTTTATTTTCAAAACTGGTATTTTTACTCTAGTCAGAGAAAAGTAGTTTCGCTTACGGCATTGGAGTCGGAGTGACGAAATTTTTAGCATAATACAAGAAATTATCATATTGCGATTCGACATTTTCATTTCCGAAGCATAAAATGTATATCAACTTGGTATTTTATGTATTTAAATATTTATTATTGTAACTAGTATCATCAGCTTCGATTAATTAGTTAAATGATAAGTTAAAATAATTCATTAAAATAGTTAAGTGAAAATTACATTTTCAAGTTGGAGTTGTGGAGATTGTTGAATTCTATTGAAAAGATAAACCGACCAATATCAGACCTCCATCGTGGACGCGCACTGCTGAGGAGCCCCATACTAGGACGAAAGGACCGCCCGGTGCTTCCCGATTTTCAACGATAGTCTAACACTGATCGATTCATCATTTCAATTTGAAAAAATTACATTTCACAAAATTTTCTAAGTTTATTAGAAATGAGCCATGATAAGTGATTTGTTTTGTATAAACTTTTATTTAGGTTTTAAAAAATTTGGTCAATAAAGAGTGGCAAAACAAAATTATGGTCACCTTGTTATATAAATAAAACGCTGATAATCGTGATGACGTGACGTTGGAACTCAATGTTTAGTTTAATTTCAGTGACTTTAGATTATTCAAGAGTAAATAATCACTATTTTCAATCGGACATGAAAATATCGATATCAATCATCATATGATGTCTCCTTTTATCAAATTTGTGTATACAGACAACTATAATTTTCATGATGAAGTGACATCGGTTAAAATATCACTAAAAATAAGTAAGGATTGATTAAGTTTCATATACGAATGAAATTTATCAGTAATATATACACCCAATTTGTTGTGCAACTGGGTTTGAGATTTGGAGGTCATATAACAAACACAAGTACCCTTCAGTTACTGAATCAGAATACTAATAGATCCTGAAGATTTCTTCGATTTTCAGCAAGTTAAGGATTTAAAGTTCACCTCCGTCCATACTTTCGATTCGAATAACAAGATGGCTGACATACGAATCTTCGGCAGAACTTCGTGACATTCATCTTAAAGCAACCCATAATGGTTTTTTATATATAATGAAGTAAATAAAACCGAAAAAGCGAGTAAACACATTTTGCGGTATCCGTGAGGTATGAAATTCGTCGCTTGAAATAAGCTGTTAATACAATACCCAATGTCTTCAAACAACAATAAATGCTCGTCATTTCAAGGAGGATCGAAAATGGATATCTTAAATGTTTACTTCTCAATAATAGTCAAATCTTTGTTAACACTAACCATAATCAAACCTAGTTACTTTTCGTAATCTTTTTCTGCTTTCTGATTCAAAATAGCAGCTAGAAGCTCAGTAGAAAAAATAACTTTCCGATATATAAAATTCAATTCGAATATTACAAGGAAAACACCAGTGAAAGTTTCCCTGCATTTCATATCGCATTTGAAATTAACAGTCAGTCAGTCAGCTACAACGTAGGACCAGGCACATTTATGCATCGGTCCAAGTTGCCATACCTCGTTAGCACAACAAGATGAACACCGGATTCATAGAAGTAGTCAATTTAGTGGTGGTAGTAGTATATAAATTATAGGTTGTATATGAGGATATAGTATAGGAAGAAAAACAGATATAAAGCAATTTTAATCTCAAAGTTTAAGGGAAGATAAAGAGTGTATACACCTACGCCATTGTGATCGATTCTCAGCCATGTCACCTAGAGTCTCCAACCATTGGTTACGATAGTCACGCGGACCCCAACCAGGTAGTCTGCATCTACCAACATGGCTCAGACTAGAAGTTAGTGACTTCAAACACTGATGCCATGTTTTGGTTTGGCCGCCCCTAACTCTCTTCCAACAATCCCCTACACTAGTCATCATAGCGCGTCGTGGTAATCGGTGTTCAGGCATACGTAACACATGGCCCAACCATCTCAGTCGATGAAGATTAATCACCTTATCAACTGATTTACCATCGTTCCCTAATACCCTGCGTCTAACCTCACTATTACTTACCCGGTGATCCCAGCAGATGCGAGCAATATTTCTAAGGCATCTGTGGTCAAATACTAGTAACCTACGAGTATCTTCCACTCTTAATGGCCATGTTTCACAACCGTAAAGTAGAACAGAGCGAACTGATGCGCAGTATACTCGTCCTTTAATTGATAGACGGATATCTCGTCTTCGCCATAGGTGACGTTTGGCAAAAGCCAAACGAGCTTTTCGAATCCGTGCTGAGATTTCGTCAGACACCAACCCATTAGGGCTGATCAGACTTCCAAGATAAGTGAAGTTGTCAACGCGTTCGACTACTTCACTCCCTATCCTTAGTTCAGGTGTTGACGTAGGCCAGTCCTGGAGTAACAATTTACATTTGGATGGGGAGAAACGCATCCCAAACATCCTGGCATTATTACTGAGTTCCAACAGAAGACTCTGCATTTTGCCAGCGTCTTCACCAAACAGGACTATGTCATCTGCGTATTCTAAGTCGCTTAGTGGTCCCCCTGGTAGGAGATCAATTCCTGTAAATTCAGTCGAAGAGAGTGTTATTTCCAGCAACAGGTCTATAATGAAGTTAAACAAAAATGGGGATAGTGGACAGCCTTGTCGGACACCACTTGGGGTTGTAAAATCATATGACAGTTCGCCATAAGCTCTCACTCGACTGGTAGTGTTCGAGTAAAGAGCCTTCACAAGGTTTATGTACTTCTCAGGTACACCTTTCAATGACAGACATTGCCACAGAACCTCTCGGTCTACAGAGTCAAATGCTGCTTTCAAGTCAAGAAAAACTATCATTGTCGGACGCCGATAAGCGTGTCTGTGCTCTAAAACTTGACGAATGGTGAATATGTGGTCGATACAGCCACGACCAGGTCTGAAGCCAGCCTGATTTTCTCGTGTTTGCAGTTCACGAGTCTTAGTTAGGCGCCAGATAATTATTGAGGCTAGTATTTTAGATGCTATGTTGGTCAGACTAATCCCTCTATGGTTATCGCAGGATGATTTTGACCCCTTTTTATATATTGGGACAATCAGTGATTGTGACCAGTCGGATGGGATTACATCCGTCTCCCAGATTTTAGCCAGAGTATTAGTCAACCTAATCGCTAAAATCGGACCACCATATTTAAAGACATCTGGAGCCAATCCATCTGGACCAGCTGCTCTTCCTCGTTTCAGATTACCTATAGCCTTTTGAACTTCAAGTAGGGTCGGGGGGCCTACTTCAATGTTCCATTCAGGTTTTCTAGAAATAGTGGGTAGTTGTGCAGTAGCTGAAGGCCAGCTAAACTGCTCCTTAAAGTGTTCCGCCCATCGTTCTAAACGTTTGGGTTGAGAGCAGATAAGGATTCCGTCTTTTTCGGAGATTGTCTCACACTTGACTTCTTAATTCCGGTTTCTTTTATTAGTCTGAATAGTTGCCTGGTGTTGCCTACAGCCGCTGCCTTTTCCATCTCTTTTGCTTTCGTTGCCCACCACTGCTCACGATCGTTCCTTAGGCTTTTAGTTAACCTAGATCTAATTTCTTTATGCTCTTCGTCATGTTCAGAGCCTGATGGGATGAGTTTACGCGAATCCATCAGTGAAATAGACTTAGAAGAAATCCATTGGTTTTTTGGAGCCCTATGGTTTAAATGACTAATAGATGTAACTGCTGTTTCCACAGCTGTTCGTATGTCTTTCCAAGCAGCATCTGGGTCAGTCTCGTTTACAGAACTGCCTAGATGTGAACTCAGTTGTTCCTGGAACTTACTTTTGGCTTTCTCGTCACTCAGTTCAATTCTAATGAGTCTTCTTAGTGCAGTTTTTCTGCGTCCAGTGAGGCACAAACAAATGCGTGCTCGTACTAAAGCATAATCAGAGTCTAAACATGTATTTCAGTACGAGCGACAATCTTCTATCGAGCCTCTCCAACGATGACTGATGACAATATGGTCTATTTGAGTCCATCGTTGGTTTGGTGCAGGTGGTCGCCATGTTAGACGATGTCTCTCCTTATGTTTAAAATTAGTGCTTGCTAAAAATAAACGATTGTCTGAGCATAGTTGCAACAGACGATCACCTTTATCGGTTCGTTGAGCCGGAATACTAAAACACCCACCTAAATGTCTTTCTGTTTGATTCAAGCTGCCTACCTGGGCATTAAAGTCACCCGCTACGACTACTATGTCTGAGCGCTTAGCTTTCTGAAGAAGCTCGGAGAGCTTTCTGTAAAAGTCATCTTTCACTTCATCTTGGTTGCAGTCGGTGGGAGCGTAGGCAGAAACGACGAAAAGGCAACGACGTGTGTCCCTATCCTTCGGAGTTCTTACGGAGCCATTCAGCCGGACAGCACACAGGCGACTGTTAACGGGGACCCATTCTAATAGTGCCTGTTCTGCCGTTGTACTTAGTGCTATGCCTACACCTGCAAGTCCGCGAGAACTAGCCAACGGGTCGCCAGATACACGGAGGGCGTATTTCGTTGGCTGTCCATTTTGGCGAGGTGAGGTCAAGTGATTGACCACACTGGGATCCTGTATGCGTGTTTCGGAGACACAGCATACATCAATGGTACGAGATTCTAGGGTTTTAGCTAAGGAGGCCTGTTGACCGATTTGGCATAGGGTACGTACGTTGAAGGCTCCAATGTGTAGTTTGGAGCGAGGTTTAAGTAGACCTGGGACAGCGTTTCGCGCACTAGAATCGTTGGCCATGGTGACACTTGAGGAGGAAACCGGAACAGGAAGTTTAGTGTTGAAAGTCAAGGTAGAAGGAATAGTAGGAATTGAAGAAGATTGATTATGAATACGGTGGTCTTGAGTGCTGTTAGGGGTATGAGGGCAGTTATCACTTCCCGGTTGCCCACACCATGGAAGGGTTCTCCTGGGGGTACCTGAAAAGGAAATTGGGTTAGAAGTGGTCTTAATGACCTGAGAGCGTGACCGCAGTGCCCAAGGGACAACTGCTTGAGGTCGGTCACACACGACCTTTTTGTGGGTAGTTTTTGTGTTAGCCCCGTTCTTCAAAAAAACCTTACCGCCGGAGACGGAAATCCGTGGGATAAGGCGAGGTGTGCATTTTTAGGGTCGACCTTTTCTAACCCCACCCCTCCTTGTGGGAAGGCAGCATCGCTGTCATGCTGGTTGTCTGAAGGAAACACCTTACTGCTTTCACACCTCTGTACAGTCAGCAGTACGACTTCGCCTTCGGACCTTGGGTTTGCTGCTTTTAGTCTCACCGCTCTTCAACCGACCTGTCTGGCATGGTAGGACCTCGAGGAACGATTGTTACAGCCAGCATAGCTCGATTGGTTCATCACGATAGGCAAGCCCGACCACCACGTCAAGGTAGCAGCAACGGTCGGGATTTGAAATTAACAATGGCAGTTTAGTCAACTATCAAATCAAAGATTTAAGGAAAAAATGAATAAGTAAATAAAAAACAAAAACAGAAAAGTTATCACTTACGCTAACAGAATCCGTGTCAACCTTTATGTCTGGATGCTTTTTAACTAAAATGACAACAAAATAATCCCATAGAGAGTTATGATCAGATGCAGAAAAAATATGATACGTCGACTCTAGCTTCTCACGGAGAATTTCCAGACAGACAAGTATAACTTCTTGTAAGCAAACTACATGGAATTCTTCTCTAGAAAATATGGAAATCAGTCGAATAGTGTATAAATGCAAGTTTTTAGAAACCCAAGCATAAAGCTATATATATATAACAAGCTGGTGAATACTCATTGTAATAATTCAAATCTTACCATGTCAAAATAAATCTCATCAATTGATATAGGTTAAAAACAATTTAGGTAATGAAATACAGAGAGATGTCAGTTTTTTTTGTTACATATTTGAATCTCTCTGCATTATACACATTAGGAACCCTAACACAATGGATCTCGAAGTTTGAACAATCTGGAAAACAGATAGAATAAGACAATTATCTGTCCCTACATTTGGTCAGTCCGTAACCGCAGGAAAGCTGTTCACCTGTCAAGGAAAATTATTTCCTTTTTGACTCAGTCTAGATGGTTTTACAAGTCAATCTGTGATAATAAAAAAAGTAGAGCCTAGTTATGTGTGTTGGTCGAAGTTACTATACCACATTATTACGGAAAGGTGAAACTAACAGAATAAATGTAAAATGAGTTGAAATAATGCAATAACAATCATAGTTAAAAAACTAAACATTCAGAATATAATTTGAAAAGGTAGAATAATAAGGTATATATGAAGGAATATTGGGGATAAAGATATGGAGTAATACAAAGAGTGAATGTATCTGCACGGTTTTGAGTTCAATTATCTAACATCAACCACTGATCGCAGTAAACGTGTAAACTCCTATTAGGTAGTCTGCATCTAAAAACATACACACGGTTTTTTATTGTAATTAAAATTTAGTTTAATTTACAAACTTACATTCGAGGTGATGAAATTATCGTAAGAAACACTTAACTTCAAGCAAATGCAGAAGAAAATTGTCAGTTGAGTATGACCGAACGATTACTATAATTACATTTCCCAACGAAATATTAGTCATATTCTGATTAATCAACAGAAATGAGAGATAAAATAATGGTTACTAATGAGTTATGTAATGAGGTGACGCATTACACTAAAGTTACATTAAATCGATTGATTTAGTAACCATCTATTAAGAATGATATAATCTCTCGGAAAATGTTTTTTGCTTTAATAGATAGGAGTATTCAAAGATTTGATTTTAAAGAATCCAAGAAAAAGAAAGAATTAAAGTGAAATGATTCAAGTCTTGTGCAGAAAAGTATATTGCAAAATGATCTACTTAATAAAGGAAATAAACATAAATTCAGAAGTTGCGAAAACATTAAGGGGTTTTTGGGATAACGAAATAATGATACAAACACGAAAATGTCAAGTGAGCTGAAAGACATTCAGAAGTTAATACATTATCAGGCTCAAAACTTGATTACGAAGTCAGTATAACGTTCATTTGTTCTTGACTAACTACTATATAACAGTTCAAGCCATATATATTCATCCTATAGATTACCAATGATTTACTTTATTCAGTGAAGCCTGAGTGATAATATGAAAACTAGTTCAAAAGACACACGACTATTGTTTTTGAGACGAATATAATACGGCTGATTATTTCCCCGTAAACCGATGAAATTCTCTAACAGTCATGAAGCTATACAAGATTTTCCAACATACAGCTGTACGTTTAAGGGGAGCTTAAGATAGATTTGATCAAAATATACACAACTGAATATTTCTATTAGTAGACTAATTGAAAAAAACATGTTTCTGTTCGCTAAGGTGTATTTAATTAAAAATATACGTGTGATCGACTTATTTGCAAGTTAAAAAAAAATCCTTCCATTTTAATGTAGTCTTAGATACTACTTCACTTCGATTCATTGTATACACTTGAAAATAATCTCTTTCCTTAATACCTCACAGATTGAAGTGGAAAAGAAATAAAGTGCCTTAGGTGTGACTGTCTGGCTTTCTAGAACAAGTTAGCTGAAATGTTGGGGGTGTACTGAAGCTCTATGATCAATAAGTAGAGAACTGCATATGTACGCCCATAAAAACTTCATATATATATATATACATATATATATATATATATATATATATATATATATATATATATATATATATATATATATATATAGAACGACAGTTGACAAAGTTACACTGTTACGAAAGTACGTCAAATATTTCGACTGAAAAAGTCAAAAGTGTAAGTGAACAAAGTAAAAAAAATTTTCTAAGCAACAGGTAGGAACAAACATGACATGAATGAAAATCTATTTTGCTGTGAAACATGGTTTACTCCGTTGACAGCCGATCTTTATATGGACTAAATTATGTACTGCCAAAAACCTTATTTTTATGGCACCTGATTGTCGAATCGGAAGAAACTTGTTTAAATGTTGGAATCATGGATTCGCTCAAGTTATTTGATACATGTCAGTATGCACAAAATCTGTTTAAGTAAAATATTTTGTCAAGCGGCTTTAAACAATTAAAACAATATCATTCAAATAATACTATTCAATGAAAACTATTTATATAAATATAATATAAACCATGTACTTCTTTATTGTCTCCACTACAGACATCATTCGTTTGTTTAGATTTGCTGACTCTAAACCTTGAATATTCCACGATAAAACATTTAGTATTGGCAAACTTTCAATTGATTCAGTTCCAGTAGTTGACACTGTCTGGTCTGCTAATGTATTATAACATGAATCATCAGAATTTGTAAGATCAATCACAATCGGTTGTTCATTTGATTGCTCATATGTTCGTTTGCGCTTTTGTTTCTTACTTCTGACGACAAAAAATTAATCAGAAATAATAAAAAAATACATTGATCAATCTGATTACACGTATTAATTACTAGAACAACTATTTTCAAATAGTACATTTAAAAAGTTATACAGCCGTTTGGATGTGTAATAAATTGGGATTTTCATTGCCGCTTGAAAACATTTAGTCATTGCTAAACGTTTTTCAAAAAAACTTCCTGACTTCATTAGAGAATCTACAGTATTTCATTATATCATTACTTCAGACGTGTTTTGTTTGATTGATAGTAAATGAGATAGCTGTTAAATGTCTGATTCGTTTTTATGCAAATCCCGTTAGGTTGCTTTGATCTAACCATATTGAATTATTTTCCTTCATATAGTAGTTCTTACCTTCGTGTCTGCTTTGTTGAATGAGTTAATAAGAATTTCATATATCCAAAGAAACTTTTTCGGGGGTGGAATGTTATGAAAGGAGTTTGAGACTAATCGAATAACTTATGTCAATAGAAAAACGGTTATTTTGCAGAATCTACGTCAACAAGGCATTTTTATGGGTACAGAGTTGCTCATTTATCTTTATGATCGTCATTCGATTCCGAGAATATAATTTTCGCTAATAAGTTTAGTTTCATGACTCATCATCACTTATAATAAACATATTTCTTCTTATATCCCAAATTCATTATTAGCTTTCGACCTAGTGCTCAATTTATTTGAAACTATCAAGTTTCACCTTTGCATTGACACCTATAATCTTCACTTACTTTCATAGTATTACATCATTAAGTTGTTTTGTACACATTCAACTTTCTCAGCTCTTCGCTTATATATAGCTTGTTTTTATCAAACCAACAAAATGGGAATTGGTTTTTAAATTATTTATTTATATACTTTATTATTATATTGTAGGTTGTCAGCAATGGCACAAAATCAGCAGTTCAGTAATATTGTACCAATGGATATAGAGGAAAATTCGAATGGTAAAGATGTTTTTCTAGAGAAATGTATTTTATTTGCTGAAACCACCTCTACTGATCGAGCACTTGGAATGATGTATCTTCAAAAATATAACTGGGATCTGGAGGTTAGTGTTTTGTATTATTTTGGTCAGTTATCGCTTGAAGGTTGGCTCTTAAAAGTGATACATTTTACGGAGTGATATGTTGTTTTTGTTTTTTTCTTTTAAAGATCTTTTTACTCTTATAAACCGGCTTGTTTTGGTATTCCTTATGTATCTTTTTTCCCTAACAGTTATAAATCATGCTTTTGGTGAATCGTTTTCATTTATTGTGATACTCTCATGCTTTATTGTTTAGATGATTCTTTCAATGTGAAAAGAAGATTCTCTCATTTATTCATTATCAAAGTTCATAATTTTCTTAGCGCTTTTTTCTTGTCCATAGGAATGTCATATAAATATGTCATTGGTTTCACTAGTTAAGATAATAATATGTTAATTGTGATAAATAGGCATTTAATATTCTCTATTTATCAGTAATGCTTTTGTTGAAAACACAAATAGATAAATGGAGAATGAATTGATTAACCTACTCATGCTAGTCTATTTAATGAACATCAACACTAGGATTCAATTACATCTGACCGAACAAAACACTCGTCCTGAACTCCACTACTAGTAATAAGCTATTTATTCTATGAAATTTTTGATAAACTGACCATATTAAGGTAATCAGTACTGGTTGCACATATGCTAACAAAAACTGAACGAAATTCACTCCTGAACAACAGCATCAGAGTGATTGAAGTCAATACTAATAATGATCTAAACATTATAGCAGGTGAACAAGTTAGTGGTTAACTGTGCTCAATAGTTGAGTAGAAAGTGAGTTTGCGTTTGAAGCGGAAAGTACTTGGTTCTGGTTCCAATGAGAACAGCAACATTCAGTTGAGGTGCCAAATAAGACTAAATGCAGTTCCTGGATTCTAATGCTAGCCACAATCTATATGGTCTATAATAACTTGGTTGATTCATGGTTACTTACTGAGAGTTTGGCAGAACTTAGAATACCATCCTTAATCAGGCTGGAGATAAATCTTAGTGATAAGTTCCAAATGAAAAAAGTATGTTTTCGTCAAATAATCCTACTTTCTAATAACAAAAACTTGCCTTCAATTAGTCATTTATTTCTCACCCAAATAATTGTTTCTAAAGTGGGTATTTACATTAAAACAACACAATACAGAACATCATGAACTTGAATTAACTTCATTATGGTAAAATTCGATCAATATAAAATGTCCTGTGAAATTAAACATAAACTGACTAAATGTAACATATTACAGTCTATACGATTGACTAACCGGGTACTCGAACAAAATGTTTTCTATCTACGGTCAACAACAATTCTCTCAAGACAGTACATATATGTACTGTTGATGAATACTTAAGAGAGACATAATAAAACAAATCTCAGGTTGGATTTAAATAACTAACACAATGATGTATCATCTTCCAGTTGATACAGAATATACTTTAAAAATTTCAATTCCAATTAGACATTGAAAAGAAGTACTTTTTACCGATATAGAAATAATGAATATGCGCATTTGAAAGACACATGATTTGCTATGTTGTACACTGGTAATAGAATGATATAAATTAAGGAGACTATATGTAAGCCCTGTTTTAGAAAGAGGAGTCCTATATTTCTTATACAGAGCAGGCCACACTAATGTACTGAAAACATAAATATAAGCTAACCATGGACTCTATTTCAAATATTCACAACAAAACATAAAAATGAAAACCGATCACAAACCAATAACATTAAATTTCTTAGAATAAACGTTAGTCAATCACAAAAGGAGCATGGCATCACTGCGTGTGAAAACTTCTTATCGATAAAAACAACTAATGGGTATGAGCATATGACGAATACGAAATACGTCAATCACTAGTAACCTTATTAAACAACCGGTTGCAAAATTACAGAAAAAGTAATAAAGGTTTAAGAAATGGTGTTTTTCTAAAAGAAACTCAATGTACCTACAATTTACTACATCCATGTTTTTAAGGCGAATACAGGCCACCTTAACAATGACAAACAACCTACTTACTTCAAAAACAGTTCTAGCTATATATATGTCTACTACTTACGTAGCGTTCATAGTCACTATTATCTTGAAATTATGTCTATTTAAACGGGGAACTTAACTTCAACATAACGCACGCGATGTTAAGTCATCCATACTAGTGGACAAATTACAACTTGATCAATAGAATACGATTAGCACTAAATGGCTAGGTAAATATTACATTTATCATTACTTAGTGATCAATGAATTCTAAATATTCCAGACCAATCTTGTGGAAGCACCATGTGAGTAATTCCGAGAACTGTCAATGCGTCATAATAATTGAATAGATAACACCAATCCAGAACACGGATCAAGGTGATTTGAATGCACAGTTCCAAACTTTTCCACACTAGGAGTTGTCTACTGAAGTGGAAACTAAGTAACCAGTTTATGAAATAGTACTGTGATATGAAGATTGGCTGTATGAAACTGGAATTAGTCAGTCACAATTTTTTGGTTAGCGTCTTAAAGATCGTGAAACTCGTTAGCTTCAGGCACTATCAGACATGGCTCACAATAACGTCAGCGGTAATCATAAAGTAATTATTCATTATATTATTCATCCAGCCAATAAGTATTTTTAACCTGTTGTTTATAGCCTCAACCAAACAGTACTTATATTCGTCTATTTATTGTATGACGTTGACCTCTTATCTTGTTACAGTGTTACAATTTAGCTTTGTGACTCATTCTGTCGTGCCAAAATCTTTAATGTCATAAATAAATACAAATAGATAATAGGGGGATATTGACTTTATACTAGAACATTTGAAAACTCATTTTTAAGCCCGTCATTAGTTAGCACAGAGCTGATTTTCAGTTAAGAGGTGATGAAAATCAATTTTAGACTTCATAATATTCCGGCGCTAATGGTGTACCGTGTTCGATTCAGACCACTGAGTTGATATTCATTGGTTTACATTTCTAACTCCAGTCAATTCGCGATATTGCAAGATCACCAACTTCAAATTCAACAATCTTTACCACACCCCATGATAATAACGATTACAACCAAGTTATACATACTTTTCAAAATCAAAATATATGAATATTGGAGATGAATTTATTATCAAACGACTGAAAATTTAAAAGGTACATATGACTTTTAAAATACATTTGAAGTAATGATTACAGAACAATAATAAAAAACACATATTCGCTTACACGGACGAGCTACACAAGAGCCATATAATAAATTCAACAGTTCTATATGTTTAGATCTGTATACCAGGTCTTGAGCTATACATTTTATGTGAGGGTTAGTGATATTATCTGGTTGCTCGGGCTGGATTTCATGGGGTTTACAATCGAGCAGTTGGAAGTCACGTGTTTTGAACATTATGCTATTAAAATGTATGTGCATTACTGAAATGCACAACAACAACTTTTATTTCGATAAATAAAAATAGTTTTGATAAAAATTTCGTAGAAACGACACTTAGGTGTCAGCACACAAACACTAAAGTTGGGGAGTATTACTGCTGAAACAATATACGGATGATAAACGGTAAATAGATAAACACAACTAAGTTACAAGGTACACGTTTATCTACTAGACTATAATTTAAATCTAGTTTCGGAGGAAAAATATTGATTCATGACACTACACTAAAACTTGGATATATAAACTGTCAGAAATAGACAAAATATATTCGACAGAGTACGGTAAACAATAAATAAATTGAATTTTCGATAATTGAACACAACATAGTATTTTACTGAACAAGGGTAAATTATAACTGATGATCGGAAAATTCCGAATAACAGATAATCTTTTGAAGCAAAGAATTTTTTTGAAACTACAGTTACGAAAATTCTTTTTAATTTGTATGTAATTAGTTATTCTATATTGAGACCGGAGCAGATCGGAGCAGAATATGGACTTACTTGCTGTGATCAGTGCGAAATCACACACACATAACACAAAGTTGTAGAACCTTTTTTTAGTTACAATCTATAAACGTTAAGTATACGTTATGTATACAAGCTTTTAGTTTAAACACCAGTCGATTAAAGTTTTCTAATCTTTACCGTTTGTTTAATTTCATTTATTCGACTAATAAATTGAAAATCTTGAAAATGAAGTAGCTGCGAAATTAATACAACAGTTGCTTCAACATCTTTCTCTCATTCTATCGAGCAAGATAAGGTAAATGAATGATAAAGAAAATAATTGTCTCTTGTAATAGACAACTTAAATATCACGCAAATTTTATAAATTGTGTTGATCAGTGAGTGGAAAATGACCAGAAAAATTATCATTTTAGTAGCGGAAAACTAGTACTTAATTACGTCCTCAATACATTAAGATGACGAGATCCAAAAAAGTCAGTCACAGCGTAGAACTTCGTACGTACGTACATCAGTTCGAGTTGCCATACCACATTAGCACAGAGATGAAGTTGTCGAATCAAATCAAATAGTGGTAGAAGTAGTAAGAGTATAAGCAGTAATCGGAAAGATTAAGGTTTGAAGATGTTATTGAAGGAGTATAATACAGTGAGATAAATTTGAAAAGAGAAAAAGGATACAGACATGAAGAATTCAGATTAGAATTTGGTAGAACACAAAGAGTGGATGCACCTTCGCCATTGCAAACGATTTTGAGTCATGTCATTCAAGGTCTCTAACCATCGGTTGCTATCATCACGCGGATCCCAACCAGGTAATCTACACCTACCAACATGGCTTAGTCCAATTGTCAGTGACTTCATGGATTTATGCCACGTTTTGGTCTGGTCGCCTCTAGCTTTCTTCCAACCTACGCCTACACCATAAAACATTGCACGTCGGGGCAGTCGGTGGTTGGACATACGTAACACATGTCCCAGCCATCTCAACTGGTGAAGTTTCACTACTTCATCAATCGATTTGCCATCCTTACCTAGTACCCGTTTCCTAACATCTGCATTACTTACCCGGTGGTCCCAGGATATACGAGCAATGCGTCGAAGACACCTATGATCGAATACTAGTAGCCTACGAATATCCTCTACTCTTATCGCCCATGTTTCACTGCCATAAAGTAGGACAGAACGAACTGCTGCACAGTAAACCCGTCCTTTTGTTGCTAGACGGATATCTTGCCTACGCCATAAATGACGCAAGTTGGCGAAAGCTAGACGAGCCTTCTGTATCCGTGCTGAGATTTCTTCACATATCAGACCACAAAGGCTGATGAGACTCCCAAGATAAGTGAAGCAGTCCAAAAAAGTGGTTCCAATCCAACACGAAAACTTGAGGTTTTGTTCTGAATTTTGTCTCGTCCCATGAAGGTCGCATACAAAGTTAAAGAGTATCGGACAACTGCGGGATGATTGCCAGTAGACTGACAACTACTCGACTGACGCCGGATTTTAACGAGAATTACTTTCTTTTACTAAAAATGTTACGCAATACTTCTACTTTAATCAAATATGTATTACAAATATCATAATCGATTTTCGGATTTTTAGCAATTAAATATAGTTTTGCCTAGCGTTAATGTTTCATTTTGTAAAACATAATCGATAATAATGCATAGTAATATAACTATTTGTAAAATCAATGTTAAGCATTTTAATTTCATCATAGCAAGGCAATATTCAGTGACTTTACATTCTATTTATATCACAGGCAAGAAAAGTGTGGATTTTTTGAAAAACTACTAACAGATTCGTTCGTTTTATTGGTAAATGTCGAGAACGTCGTAGCCTCCAGATAGAATCAAATAAATGTTAAAGAAATCATGAAGGAAAGTTGTAGAGTGAGCGCATTTAGCTGACTATAACCAAAATCAGGCAGTGTGCATTTGCGTTGCATTTCCTAGTAGTTTGTTCTCATATCAAAGTTGTCTACTAGAGGAGTACGTAACATTATTGTAAAGAGGAAATAGAGTGCAACACTTTTTAGTCCATAAGCCTGTAAAAAACGTTGTCTTAATTTTTTCACAACTAAATATAAAAACGATTTTCGTTTCTTGACTTTTCTTGTGTTGTTAAATCTTTTTGAAGCTTGCATTATTGTAAGAGCTATATTTCCAGGAAAGATGTTAATAAATACCACAAATAGTAGACGATATCTAACGATATTGAAGCTAAGTACATCATTCAGCATGAACACGCCTTGTTAAATTTAGTACAAAACGACTAGCAGCTATCTAATATGAAATTTAAAGAAATAATACTAGTTAGTGCAAAAGAGTATGTTATCAAACTATTACAGAACTTATTTGTAGATATATGAATGTAAAATGTTAACACCAATATACATTTTTCATGTTTATTTGTGTTCCAATAGATTTTCACTTTGTTTTCATTTTCATAGGAGTTATTTTTACAATAGACATGAAAGTGTGTACGTAATTCATGTCATATGGTTGTTTAGCGTTGAATAGACTAATTAATTTGTCAATAAGTTGGATAATAAAATTCAATCAACAGTAATACATAGTAGAAGAAAAAACCGACATAAACATGAGTGAGAATCTAATGCGTTCATGTCACAAAAAATTTTCGTACAGTACTACAGAACAAAAAAGATTGTGATGGTGATGGGTAATTTTGTATAATCAGTCTTCAATTTCACTGTACGGATATCGTGTCAGATGAATTACAAACCTAAACACAGTAAACAGGATTTCTGTCTACGTATGCAAACATAAAATATTATCTCTGGCTATCTTTGATTTATTTAATATACTCAGCGCTTAACATGAATCAAAGGTGTCCAGCGATTTTCAGGAATTTCGCCGCCAACAATTCATTGCACATAAACGCTGTGAATAAGTGAATAGAAACGAGTGTCGTTTATCGAATTTTAAGTAGGGGTTACGAATTATTACCTTAACCAAAAATCGTACTAGTGCCTGAAAAATTTAAAATCTGGACTAATAATCAGATGATTTCGCTCAAGCCGGTTTCATTTGAAGGACAGTAATTCTAAATAAGTCCCACATTCACATTTAACCAATAGATTTGCATAAATAGCACTAAACACAGTCTCTCTGACTATTAGAAAGTCCGAACATGATTATAAGCAAAAGTGATGACGCCCACAACTACAGAAACCAATCAGTCATCTGTCTAGAGATATAAAAAGAATTGTTAGTCGATGTAAAAAAAATTAGTATGAAGTTTGGACGTTTGTAGCATCATACCTCTCGAGAATGATAGTGCACGTATGTCTGTATGTGTAATACTTTTAAAAAAGTCTCCGTATTGTTATTATTGCGACGACACGGAATGAAAAATAGACAATGACATTACTTAACATCAATGAATGATGATGAGTTTTAACTATAAACATAACTAACAATATTTTAAAAAATAATTGTTAGATCTACTGGAAAACGTGAGTCTGATTTATTTAATACATATACATATGGTTTATTCAAATCTATCTGTCGGTTTATTAAAAAAGCAAGTCAGAATACTTAAAAAGAAGCAACAATAAACAAGGTTTCATTTAACCACCGAAAACAAATTAAACACTGATGTAATTAAAAAGAAAAACTCCGTACAGACCACATTATTATGTTAACAGGAAAAAATATACACAAGTAAAGAGTTGAAAGAAAAATTGCATGAAATAAAACACGAAAAAACCAATTCATCACAAAAGTTGTTTTGTAATTAAGATACATTTGTTTTGAATGAGATCTTACAGTACTGATAATCGATAACCAAGTGACATATCAGTCGATTGTTGATAATTTACATATATCTGTTTAGCTATGCTGAAATATACAAATAAACTGAGTCTGTAAACCACTAGTATTTTTCTTTAAATACATAAGGCTTTGAAATTATGTGATTATACAAGAAAACAATGTTTTGTGCACTACGCATATCAGTTAGGCGTCCGATTGTACACGACATACTTTCAATAAATTAATACCAATTTGTTTAATAGAAAACATTTATTTCCCACTTAAAACTAACAACCCCTTAAAATCTGAAGAACGACGAAGCACATAACACAGTGATATTAAAATGAGTAGATTATAAAACAAGACATTAAAATTTGTGCTTACGTGGAATTATTCTGTTGTGTTAAGAAGTATTTATTCACCGCAAGCTGTTAAAAGAAAAGAAAAATAATGGTGAATTTTTGACATATATATATGCAAGCCACATCCATGCTACTGACCAGTAGTGGTATCAGCTGAGGATAATGAGGGTTCGGAAACATAGTCTTACTTGTAAATTAAAACAGTATAATCGTAAAATCTCAATGAGTAGAAAAATTAATTTTCTAATTTCCCTATTTATAACAATCAATCCAATGCTCTATTTACTTGAAATTATTAAGTCAAACTTTGCTAATGACGTCTATTGTTCTATCTGATTGATTCACTAATAGATAAAATTACATGAAACTATAATTGCATGAAAATTTTACGTTCATAGTTTTACCGGATGATTTTTCCTCCACATATACACAAAACTTCCACGTGATCTTAAAGAAGATCATGGTTACGACATCACCTTGTGGAATCATTTCAACGAAATCTGATATAGTTGATTCCATGATTAAATAGTTTCTCTTTACAAATTAGGAATAAAATGTATTTAAAACAATTAGTCCCTTTGATAAATTTCGATAATAAAATGTATTTTAAATAAGTGAAAATTTTAAATTCCAACTTTATCAATACATCTACAAAATTACGTCCGGATCATTTGTTTCCCTAATAAGTGGTCACAAATTCTTATCTCTAGAAAAAATTCCTTCGATTGTTTATTATTATTATTATCGATTCAATCGAAGGAGATTATTTACTAATAATTTAACTGTTAATGAGTTACACAAAAAGTTAAATTCTTAACTTCATTAACTAACTAAGACTTTAGGCGCACACTAGCTTTGATCTGTACAGAAAAGAAATCTTCGAGACACTGTTAAATTCATAGCTGAGTCTCTAATATTTTAAAAAAACAAATAGTGAATAAACATAAGTATCCTTTGAAGGTAAAGCTTTATGGTAACATTAGAAGTCAGGTCATTATCAATCATGCTAACAGTGATGGATTTAAAAGAACATGAGAAAAGTGAAATTAATGAATAATCAGCTAGTACACAATGATTCATTATTTATATTGTATAAAGTCTGAAAATCAAATATGATGAATTATAATGTTTAGTGCGCATAAAACATGTATTCAAGTGATGTGGAGTACTGAAATCACGTACACTGAATGGCTAATAGATAAAAACCAGTGTTAACTACTGATGCTCCAGTCCTAAACGAGGTATCTGTTTATTTGACTGCAGTCCTATATCATGAGAATTAAAATATTCATGTAATCATAACCTTTAAACGTTTGTATGTACATTATGATGAAAGATCTTAAAGAGCAAAAAACAAGATCCACAGTGTCCTATCGAAACCTTGTAATTGTATACACAATATTATTACAATTAATAAATATATTGAATCACTGTACCTAAGCCATAACTTATTATACGTATGTCCTCTCATTACGTTACCAAAATTGATCAAATGAATTAAGTTTTAAATCATCAAAAACAAAACTTCCTGTGCACACACTATTTGGAAGTAAGATGAGCTTACTAACCTAAGGATTAAAACTGTGTCTCGATGAGTGAAGTTGGATTTCTATAAATCTTACTTCATAAGTCACATATTCCTAAGGCAATAGTACGAGAGTTAACATCCTAGCAAATTATAACGAAGTGCTCGCAATCTAATTCAACCTGCTCAAAGACATAGCACACATGTAATCAATTGAAACTTTATAAAACATTAATAAGTTGTTTGTTTCTATAAAAAGAAATTGCAAATTCCAATGTGTAAACTTGGTTTCTGTAATCTGACTAAACAATCAAATTTACTTAAAAACCATAATTAACCTACCACTTCATGTTAAGTTATGAAAATAGTAAATAGTCAAACAAATAATTTAGTCATTTATATAATCAGGAAATAACAAAAAAGGAATCAATTTACACTCCGCTAAGTTTCTTTATTCCTGTTTATTAGATAAAAAATTGGTGTGAGAAGATACCTGAAACATTGAATTACATAACCCAAAGGGATGTTACGTGAGAATTTACACCATAAAAACTATTAGGTGATCAATGTTCATTTCAAATACTCCAATATATTATTATAAAGTGAAGATATTTTGTGTTAATACTAAGCAAATTACTGTAGTACAATGTTATTCAAGATTTCCCTTCGAGGACTAGTTAAATAACATAACATTCATATTTGTTGATATAAAAAGTTGCGAATACAGATTAGTAACTGAACAGGTGATACTAAAAATTTGGTCACAATGATTACAAAATGGCAAATGATGACCTTATTGCATTGGGAAGGAAACTCCAAAGGAATTAATGGCTGTACTACAGCAAAACAAAACTACAAAGAGAATCAGACAAGTTTGATTAGACAAGAACAGCACAACAGCAGTTAATAAAAATATCTGGTAATATAGAAAAACATCTGGATAATTATAGGATCAATTTTACTGAACGATGATGAGGTCAACTGAAATGCTGAAGCAACAAAAAAACGATCTGAAATCACCCGTTTCCGTCGACTAAAGGTCCTCCTGATACGATGACTACTAACAGCAGTGAAGTTAGGTTTCTAAAGAAGATCGTTCAAATGATTCAAAGTGTTGTAATCACGGAAAGTTGATGACGATCGATCCGGTAGAAAACGCTATCAACTCACAAACTGAAATGTGCAAGTGTAAGTAAAATATGATTCTTCGTCAACCGTTGACAAACGGACAAGGCCTACTTACTTTCTTACGCCTGTCCAAATCGTCTAGTTGCATGCAAGTTGTCCATTGTATTCCGTGGTTCTTCTCAGGTGTCCAGATCTTCATAATCCAGTCAATCACCAGAAGAAAGAGAAAGTGGGAGAGTAGACAGCCTTGTCTGACTCAGGTCCTCACTTGGAATGCATCTGTCAGCTGTCCTCCATGCACCACTTTGCACTGTATTCCGTCGTGTGAATTCCGGATGATGATACTGACGATCTTCTCAAGTACACCATAGTGTCGAAGAAGGTTGCATAAGATTCCTTTATCCACGCTGTCAAACGCTTTCTCATAGTCAAGGGAGTTGACGTATAATGACGAGTTTCAGTCAATTGATTGTTTAACGATGAGCCGTAGAGTCGTGATTTGGTCTGTGCATGACCGATCTTCACGGAATTAGACCTGTTGATCTCGAAGCTGGACATCTACTAAATCGTTCATCCGATTCAGAAGGGAAAGAACTATAAATACTAATCAAATCGCCTGAAATTGTACACACACACATAAAACACTGATCAAACTGGATCAGTCTATCTTGTTTTACTAATCATGCTAACCCTGGATAAATTGTGCAACTAGTCAGTACTACAACTCCGCCTGTAGCTCTTCTAGAGTTACTGCCGGTCCCAAGCCCGAGTAAAGGAGGAGGGTTGAGCATGGTGTTAGCAACCCTATCCCGTAGAAAAGCTAACTCGCTAAAAAACGCTAACCAGGAAAAAATAATTCAAACCATTTAAACTCTGCCCTCCAAGTTGAAAAAATAATTATGACGTCTCATGATGAAAGCCGAAATTCTTCGGAAGTCACGAGACCGATGCACCTTCTGACAACCAGAGCAACACTCTTTATAGGTACATGGATGGGATGGGAATCTCATGGACCCAAAATAATCAAAGCACCATTCAGAACAAAGAAGCAAGGGACCACAATGACCGTTATCTAATGTTATGCACCCACCAATGATAGCAACGACGATGATAAAGACCAGTTCTATGAAAGGCTGCAATCAATTATAGCGAAGTGCCCAAGAAAGGACCTCACCATCCTGATGGGAGATCTAAATGCTAAAGTCGCAGTGGACAACACAGGATATGAAGATATAATCGGACGACATAGACTAGGAGAAATAAATGAAAATGGGGAGAGACTTGCAAACCTATGTGCATTCAACAAATTGGTTATTGGCGGCACAATATTCCCACACAAGCGCATACACAAAGCTACATGGATCTCACCGGACCAAACCACAGAGAACCAGATAAACCACATCTGTATCAACAAAAAATTCCGAAGATCAATGGAAGATGTGAGAATCCGGAGAGGAGCTGACATAGCTTCAGATCACCACCTGGTTGTGGCCAAGATGAGACTGAAGCTAGAGAAACACTGGACAACTGGACAAACAGCACTACAAAGGTTCAATACAGCCTTCCTTCGAGATATTGACAAGCTCAATGAATTCAAGATAACTATCAACAACATGTTTCAGGCTCTACAAGATCTACTGAATGAACAAGAAACTACTTTGGAGAACAACTGGAAAGGGATAAAAGAAGCACTAACTTCAACGTGTCAGGAGGTTCTTGGTCCTAAGAAGCATCATCACAAGGAATGGATCTCTCTGGGAACCCTGGACAAAATTCAAGAAAGGAAGAACAAGAGACTAGCAATTAACAAAAGCCGAACACGAGCAGAGAAAGTCAAAGCACAAGCAGACTACGCAGAAGCAAACAAGCAAGTGAAGAAAAGCATTAAAGCCGACAAGCAGAAACACGTGGGAGAACTAGCAACGGCGGCGGAAAAAGCTGCAAGAGAAGGGAATATGAAACAACTATATGATACAACGAAGAAATTAGCAGGGAGATATAGCAAACCAGAGAGATCAGTCAAGGACAAAGAAGGAAAGACAATCACTGAGATTCAAGAACAGAGGAAAAGATGGGAAAAATACTTCGAGGAACTGCTGAATAGACCAGCCCCATTGGATCCACGGAACATCGAAGCAGCACACACTGACCTTCCAATAGATGTCACCTCACCAACGATCGAAGAAGTCAAGATGGCCATCAGACAAATCAAAAGTGGGAAGGCGGCAGGACCTAACAATATACCAGCTGAAGCACTGAAGTCAGACATTGAAATAACTGCAAATATGCTTCACCTTCTATGCAAGAAGATTTGGGAAGAGGAACAAGTGCCAATGGACTGGAAAGAAGGATATCTCATCAAGATACCAAAGAAAGGAGATCTGAGCAAATGCGAGAACTACAGAGGCATCAG